GGACTGGCCACCATTCTGTGATCTATATCTGTTCCCACCACTGAAGTCAGATGTGACTGCTCAATATTAATTGGAGCAATATCTCAAGATAAATATGCCTCTATTTAAGCATAAGAATTTAATTTTTGTGTTTTAGTTGTCAATGGTCCTTTTTTTTTAAAAAAATCTTTATTTTTTTACTTGTGGATATCCAATTTGGAACTTGGATTTTTTTTTAGGGGGGGTACTGGGGATTGAACTCAGGGGCACTCAACCACTGAACCACATCCCCAGCCCTATTTTGTATTTTGTATGGTTTTTAGAGACAGGATCTCATTGAGTTGCTAAATCCTTGCCATTGCTGATGCTGTCTTTGATCTTTCGATCCTCCTGTCTCAGCCTCCTGAGCAGCTGGGATGACAGGTGTGTGCCACCGCTCTCAACTGTCAATGGCCCTTTATTTATATGGGGTGCTGAGAATCAAACCCAGTGCCTCACACAGGCTAGGTAAGTACTAACTACTATCCCAGTTCCAAGCTTAAGGATTTAAAAAATCAACTTGCATTTAGAAATAGTTCTTACTGGTTGAATACCTACTATTCTGTGTTAAGACATTTACATACAAGAAAGGATGGTGGAATGTGATGGACATCATTATCCAAAGTATATGTATAGAGACACAAATTGGGTGTCAACATACTTTATATACAAACAGAGATATGAAAAGTTGTGGTATATATGTGTAATAAGAATTGTAATGCATTCTGCTGTCGTGTATTAAAAAATAAAATCAATAAAAAGACATTTACATACATTATCACATTTGAATTCTTGTAAATAGCATGCTGGAATAATAACTAGTAACATTTTAAAAACCATCATTATACATCAGACTGTATTGACATCTTTACATATATGTCTCATTTAATCTCCACTATACTATTCTTCTTCTTTAACAAATGAGGAAACCAGATTACAGTCAAGGCAGGAAATATGAAGCCATCACATAATTAATTGCAATATCCCTTCAGGGTTTGTTCTAAACAGTACACATAAATGTCTTGCTATAGGGAAGACAGACTGATCACCGCTAGTTTACCAATGAGGGAACTGCAAGTATTTCAAGACCATACTGTGGCCGAGGGTAGTGGTGCATATCTGTTATCCCAGAGGATGAATTCAAAACCAACCTTAGCACCCTAAGCAATTTAGTGAGACCCTGTCTCTAAACAAAATATTTTAAAAAGAGCTGGGGATATGGTTCAGTGGTTAAGTGCCCCTGGGTTCAATCCCCAGTAAAAACAAACAAACAAACAAATCAAAACAAAACAAAAAACAGGCTATGAGGAAATGGTGAAAAGCATTATGGGAACTTTGGCCTACTTTACCCATCCTCCAATTGCCTTCCTGTTCTTGACAGCTCTGATTATATATGTCCTTCAATAATTTTCTCACAAGGTTTGAACTTTGTTAGAAATTACCAAAAGTGGTATTACTATTATTATAAATAAAGTCATGGAATTACGGAACCTGAATGATGCAAGGTTGAGACCCAAGATGAGCCAACTAGTCATTCCCACCTAATCAGCTGAGAAGGTTTCCCAAAAGTTGGGGTTTGACTCTAGCAGAGTCATTAGAAGCATTTCTTCTGGATTATATACTTTTTACTGTTCTGTGTTTTCTACTTTTTCTACAATGAGCAGGTCTTACTTTTTAAAGCAAGTGTTCCCAGACAATACATCTCATGGTAAAACATTCAAACATACAAAACCCTTTCTTTAAACTCTTACCTTCCCTCACCCATTCCAATCTCCTCCTTAGAGGTGACTACAGTTAGAAGTTTAGTTTGAATTCCTTACACTGTCATATATGGCTATTGAGCACGTGACATACCCTAGTTGAGATGTTCTATAAGCATAAAATACACACTAAATTCAAAATTTAAGCATAGAAAAACTTTATATAGTTTCTGTATTAATTACAAGTTGGAATGTAAATTAAGGAGACTATAAAAATATCAGTGGTTGCCAGGGATTAAGGGGTTGGGAGAAAGGGATGAATATGTACACCATAGAGAATTTTACAAGTGAAACCATTCTGCATGATACTTTAATGGTGGATACATATCATAAATTTGTCCAAACCTATAAAATGTACAATGCCAAGAGTGGACCTTAATGTAAACTATGGGTTTTGGGTGATAATGGTCTTAATGTATGTTTATCAATTGTACCAAATATACTAAGGTTGGATAATGACACTAGGGAAAGCTATACATATGCAGGGGAAACAGGTTTGTGAGAAATTTCTGTATCTTTTTTCAATTTTGCCACAAATCTAAACTTGTTCTAAATGATTAAGTCCTAAAGAAAAAAATATTTTGGATATATTGGGTGAAGTAAAATACATTATCAAATTAATTTCACCTGTTTCTTTTCATCTTTTTCACCTAGCTAACAGAAAAGGTGGTGCACATTTAATTTTATTGAACCATCACTGCTCTAGAGTCTAGATAACTTTGGGTTTTTTGCATATTCACATGTATATAGAGAACATATAGATTTTTGGTGTTTTCTAACTTAAATATGCATTACCTTTATCATTGGACTTTTTTTAAAATTAGAGTCTTTAAATGCAGGGGGCATTAAATTAATGCTTTCTTCCTGTCTTTATCTTCTTTATGATCCTTACACTTCTTTTATATTTCACAACCTACAAAGCCTTAGAATGAAGGAAACATAGTTATTCTTGGCTATAAAAATGCTGAAGTAAGTACATTTAATATGTGAATTAAATCAACATTGGTATAGGTTCATAAAGGGTTGTTGGATAAAGAAAGTGCTAGTCAATGAAGGAAGGCTTTGGGCATTAATGGGTCATTGGACAAAAGATCTATGAAACAGTGCCAAAATGACCTGAAAAATTTTTTGTAAACAACTATATTCAAAGTTTCTGTTCTCATCATGTTACCTCTTTTTCTCAAACATTTTTTTTGCAGTAGGTATAGTTCCATTATTTATGTTGGGTGACCACTCTCTGCTATTTTTTTTTAGTTTGATCTCTACTGCCTATGAAGGATCATATCGAAACAAAAACCTCAGTTCAGCCACTGAATTTTGATAGTTGCTGTAAATAAACACTGACATGTATGATCGATGTGATCACTATTTTGCTAAGTTATTGTTAGTTGAAGTAATATTAAAATATTTTATAATGTATCTAATAGATTTTATTCTGAGAAAATACCTAACATTAATGTCCAGTTAAGTGGATTCTACAAAAGAAATTACCCAAAGCAAGCTCCCTGTATCCCCTGCTTATTAATAAACTGAAATACATAAATAATTTAATATAGATTGCACTGTGTAAATAGACTGGGAACACATATGCATGCAGCAATTTCTTGTGTCAGGCTGGCACAGTGTTTATCATGTTCTAGCAAGGTGTTAGCACATGCAACATGAGCAGCTCTTACTTGGGCTCAATGTAGAACCTCCATGGGAGCAGAAGAGAGAAAAAGAACATTAGGCATGAGCACAGGTGCTGTGAAACTTATTATTTTAATAGCTGTGAGTGTTCCTTGGTTCTCTCTCCCATTTGCATCCCTGTAGTTACCTGTTATCTAGATGGAAAAAAGAAAAACCTGGGACTGAAAGCCTGTTTATACCTTTTCTCACTTGTTATTACTCTAAGACAATGGGTAAAATGAGGCACTGAATGGGGATCTCCAAATTTTTCTTCTTTCTGGTAATTCTCTCAATCTAATAAACCAAGTTTTTGTCCCCCAGATTCCATGGGAACTGTATTAAATGCTCCATATTGATGGGATATCTGAAAAACATTTCTTTCTTTCTTTTCTTCCTATATCTCACCACATTTTCTCCTAATTCAAGAAAGAATATAGAGATAGTAGAACATAAACAAAAGCTAGGGGTATACAAAGATTTTCAACTTTTCTGAGGTTTGGTAAACCTTTTGAAACTTAAAAAAATTCTCCTTAAATTAGGATTGACTTCCTCTGAGTAGATACCATCTGCTGTAGCAGCCCAACCCTGTCCGATCCTCCCTTGCCTAGGCCTTGGCAGCTACAGGTGAGTAGGGCCCCTTTCTTTCCCACACCCCTCCCCAAGAAGCTGTCAGGAGCCTCTGAGGCAGTATCCAGCAGGCAGGAAATGGGTTGGGGTTGAGGGGGTCTCCACCCATTAGCAGCTGTTTAAGCAGTAGGCAGGAAAATTTTTCTACAGAAAAATCCAGGTTAGCAAATACTTCAAACCAATTTATACCACATGCTACCCAGTTGTGGAATTGAATTAAAATGCGAAAAAAGGACCTGGAATGCTAATTCCCTTGTTTTCCCTCACTTAGCGCCTGGGACCAAAAGAACAAAACAAGAACAGTTGGACTTGGTGTTTTAAAGGGAATTATTAGGCAACTAGAAGAAAGTAAGGGCAGCACACACCAAAGAAAGCCGTTTATTTGGAACATCATGTACCAATGATTACATGTTAAGACCCATCATTGTTCAGGTGGTGACATCTGCACAGACTTAGTAGGTTGCTCACTTAGATTTAACCCAAAGACAACTTTGACAGATTATCAGAATCTTTTGGTGAGGGTGGTAGGTGGAGTGGGGAAAGGAGTGAGGTAATTCTGAAGAATGACTTTGATTTTTAAAAGCACAATAGTATTATCATCTCAATGGTTCTGCTTTAGTCTATTCTAGGGCAATATGAAAGAGAAGTTTTGCCAAATGTCAGAAAAAAATTTCTAAATAAGTCATTTTAGATTACATTTGAACTCTAAAATAAAAACATATAAGTATGTATTTGTCTATCAGATCTTAGTGCATTTTGTTAACACTTTCCTTGTGGAAGATATTTGAATTTTTCATATACTACTTTCTTAACAATGATTAACTATAGCTTTAATAAGTGGATAAGAGGTGGATCCATAATTTATTATGTATACTTAAAAATAAGACTTTATATTTCTTAACAGTAGGAAAACATTAAAATGGTTACCTCTGTGAATGTGTTCCGATTAGCTTGCAAGCCAACTTTTACTACCTCAAAAGGGTTAACCACGATGGCTTCTGTTAGTCCAGATCCCAATCCAGCAATGGCAAATGTCTAGAAAAATTAAATCCATCAATTCTTTAAAACAAGTGATCATGTGTACTAGGTTAGGTATCCTATTCATTATACTATGCAGCTATGTTATGATGAGAATGGAGAAGCCTATGTAAGTGCACCATATACCATTACTAAACAGCTTTAGTTCTTGATTAGATGCTGACAATTCATGAAGAAGAATTACAGAAGCCACAAACCACATCCTAACAATTTCAAAATAAAATGTCAAAGCCCCATCAACAATGACTTTTTCCTTTAACAAAAGGCAAGATTATTTTACTGATTTGAGGTGGATACTAAAAACATCTGCACTTAAAGAGAGTTTAAATTGTAAAAGGAGAGCTTCATTTTTTAAACATCTATTTAAATACTTTTATTGAGCATATGAAGAAATATAAGGAGCAGAACCACAAATAAAATGTTTATAAAAAGCTAAATTCCAGGTAGCTGGAAACATTCAAATATATAGTCATGTTCCTAGAGTCACTATTTTAGACTGTTAATAAACAAAAATTAATTTTTATTCACTTTCTCTATTTAAAACAAAATAAAACTGACGATTGCCCTATTTCTCTGGACTTAAAGCTGAGAATAAAAGCTAAGATAAAAAATAGCTAAGTTGTTCTGAAGGGCCCAACTAAAATCTAGAACATTTATCAAAAAAATTATCATTGGACTTTTTTTTTTTTTAAATTAGCATCTTTAAATGCAGTGGGCATTAGATTAATGCTTTCTTCCTGTCTTTATCTTCTTCATGATCCTTATACTTCTTTTATATTTCAGGTTCCTAATTGCTGTGTATTAAATAGAGGTACTTTGTATTAGGCAGAGGGGAGTGAGGGAAGGGGAGGTGTACAGGGTAGGAAGATAGGGGAACGAATTAGACATTATTACCCAGTGTACACAATTGGTATGATTCTTCATTATGTATAACCAGAAGAATGAGAATACTATATTTACATATGATGTGTCAAAATTCATTCTACTGTCATGTATAACTAATTAGAACAAATAAAAAAGAATTCCAGAAATAATAATAATAATAATAATAATAATAATATTTTTATGGAATTTTCTTCTAAGTATAATGTTAAGAGTTTTCCAGAAAAAATTATATCAAAATGACCATGACAATTAAAACTCACAGAGAACAAAAACACAAATATAGAAACAAAATCAATCAAATCCTCTATGTCTCCAAAATAGATGCCAGACAAAAAGTAATTCTTTGCTGTAGAACCTCTACTTCCAGGAGAAGAAATGGCACGTATACAACAGAAGAATAAAACCAGTGAAGAGTAAAGAACATATACTCTTATTAAGGGTCTCTAATATCTTCAAAGAGAAGGGAAAAAGGAATATTCTCTAATGTAAGAGGGGCAGATAAGGTAGAACAAGGGCTAGATCCAGACCTGTGAAAGTGAGTTAAGGATTTGGTTCTGCCACACATTGGCTGTATGACTATAGCTTCCATGGACTGTAGTTTGTACACAGATAAAAGTGCTCAGCCATGGGGTGCATGGAGGCTGAAACACAGTCTGTACCCTACTTTCCAAGCCAGACCCTGGACAGACATTAGTCAGGAGGTAGGGCCAACTTTTCATGATTCACACAAAGGCACCATGTGTGCTAGCTGGGGCTGCCTATGAATCTTATCTTTGATAAGACAGCTTTCTCATCTGTAAGATGAAGATAATAATATCATACCTCAGAAAGTTATTATGAGGGTCAAAACAATGTGCAAAAGCTCTTTGAAAGTGCTTTCCAAACACCATTGTTCTTGTTGCATATAAAAAGGGATGAAGAATGGTATTGCATATAGATTCTAGGAGACAAGGCATAACTAATGATGTTTTCCTTTTATCCCACTTCATTACAATTTTAAGCATAATTTGTATAGGGTAACTGACCAAATACTTTATTCATTTATCTCAAACTTCTATCACGGAAGCCAAAAGCAGGGGGAAAATACCAGTCTCAAACTCTTCTGACTGGGAAAGCTAAAATCCAGATGTTCAGGGTTTTTATTACTTACTATATGCAATCTTCCAAGTAATTCACTTTTTGGTTCTTATATAATGCTCGGCTACATTTGCTGTCAGAACTAGTGTTCAGCAGTCCCTTGTCAAAAGAATTGATCAGATACCAGCAGATTATATTACTTAGGTTGCTGCAGAGACTTGAGTTTACTGTTGGGTTCCCAGTCTCCTAGGTTTTTCATGGGAGCACCAGGGAATATTTAATACCTAAGTGCCTAGCTGTATCAAAAAAGAAACTAGAATAAATGAGTTCAAGAAAAGAGGAGAACTGTATACAGTTTGCTTTTCATGCATTCTGTTATAGTAGCTGGAGTAGCCAACTGCTTTACTGTTTCAACTCTTAAGTCAAAGACCTGCAGTCTCTCACATGGAACCAATGCTCAACACAAAAATGCCAGCTGGCCCTCTGGAGGCCATATTTTATTGTCTTTTGCTAGGAAGTCTTTAATCCTCTTTTGGCTAACATGTTTACAAAGCCAAAAAATGACATTAAGGGAAGACACTGAGGGATTAAAAAAAACAAAATCTTGATGTAATTTTGAGATTCATGGCATGACCCCTCCTTTCCAAGAGAGTGTGCTTCACAGCCGCTTTGTTCAGGCAGAAGGTTGGAGAGGAGATTTCTTGGTGATAACAAAAAGCAATAGCTTTACATTTTTTAATGAGATCCCTTCAAGAAAGGGAGCAGGTATCATTTTTAAAGTAACAGAAATTTCTTCTTGGATCGTCTGTTTGGTAGAGTAAATATTCTGAAATGAAACTTTACAAGTAAAGTATAGATGATCTTTGATATACAATGGTTCAACCTACGAATTTTTACTTTTGTGAAAAATGATTCCTATTCCATATTTTGAATTTTGATCTTTTCTTAGACTAGCAACATGAAGTATTATACTCTCTCATTTTGCTGGGTGGTGACCATGTGCTGTGGCTCCCCATTAGCTATATCATCAAGAAGGTATAAACAGCCAATGTTCTATGGTGTACTTTGTTTATAAGCTATGGTAGGTAGGTAGTTGTATTAAATTAACTAGGTAGGCTAGTTGTATTAAATGCATTTTTTACTTATTATATTTTCAACTTATGGTGGGCTTATCACAAGTGAAGCAGCATCTATAATTGAAGAGTTGAACCTCAGAACATTGTCTCTTCTATTGAGTTTTGAGGCACATTTCACTGGGCAAGTGAGGATTTACCTAAAGAATAGACTGTATATTGCTAATTGTAACAAAAATGCACTTTATTTTGCAGATTTTGAGGGAAAGATTAGTGCATTTGCTCTCTCTGGGGCTCTTGGTGCTCACACATTTGGCTAATATAATTTAACTTGCGTAGGAAAAGCAGCAAAATCACCAAGATAGAGAAGAGTGGCATAGGGAAATGTTCAAAACAAGTGAATTTCATGTAATATTTAAGGTGTGTTGTTATAAAATGACTATTCACCATGGCTAAGTTGTTTACAGCCATTTATATAAAAGGCCCTTCAATCTGTGCCTGACCACAGAGTGATTTTGTCCTGAGTGACTTGAAGTCCCATATTGGCTACAGCTTGAGCAATAGCTAGAATAGTGACCTGTTAGGCAATTTCAGGCATACTGACTTTTATATAAATAGATATGTGTCATATGTATGTAAACATATGCATGTTTTGGTTTTAAAAGAGTCTTTGATAAATGTACTCTTTATTTTATATTCTTGACCATATCTCATATAGGTCCTTCCAGGCATATCATTATTATTATCATAAATTCATCACTGGGAGCTATAAAATAGTCAAATTGTGAGTTATTAGGAAGATGGCTTTCAACAAGTAGCTGAACATTGAATAACTTGAATTCATATTTTAGTAGCTGGGCTTGGGGAAATCAAAAGGGTTTTTGTTTCTAGATTTTTGCTTTATGAAATAACACACACACTTAAGTATAATAAATACTCTCACTTACCAATGCTGGTGACAGTGACACATATCCTAGCAATTTCTTGTACTGCTCAAAGGTGAAAAACTGTGAAACAAAACCAAGCCCAGAGATTTATGACAATTTCCTGTAACAAACTCTTTAATTGACTAAAATTTCTTTGCTAAATCATTATATTAACCAGCATTTTAGAAAATGATAAGCCATATAACAGTTTTTAATCCTGTTTCGGGCAGTTGCTATTGAATCTTATTTTAACATTCACATTTTTCAAATGTAGTTATAATAACCTACAGAAGAGCTGATGGAATCCTTTATAGCAGTAAATGAACCATACAACTTCCATTTACCATGACCATTTTCAGTTTCCCCAGACATCAATAGACTTCTTTTTTATGGCAGTGATTCAAAATTATAGGCACAGAGACCTGGAGTCTTGGTCTCCTATGTTTTCTCTATGAACTGCTTTTCCAACAAATGTCCAATTTTCTATAACACACTTGTAAAAGACATTCAACTTCTCAGACTTTATATTATATTGCTGTGTCTCTCTACTGTTTCATGATATTATTAAACATTAAATAATTACAAAGATGCCATGCTAAACTAGGGAAGGGCCCAATGAAGTTATATAGTCCATTCCCTGCCTTAAAGCCAAACTATCCCCAACCTGAATGAAGATAGCTGCTTATTCTTTTCTTTAAAATCTGATGAAGAAGATGATGATGATGATCGAGATGATTATCATGATGATGGGGATGTTCAAGATACTATTAATTCCTTCAGAAGATGATGTTTAATATAATTTTATCTTCAAAGAAGAATGTTTGAAGAGAGAAATTCTTTTCTTAATTAGAATAAGTTATACTCCATATATGTATAATATGTCAAAATACTGTCATGTATATCTAAAAAGAACAAAATTTAAAAAAGAAAAAATTCTATAAAGGCAAATCTAATCCGTCCCCTTTCTACATCCTAGTTAAAAAAAACTATGATTAAACATTATTATTATTATTATTTGTGTGTGTGTGTGTGTGTGTGTGTGTGTGTGTGTGTGTGTGTATTTGGTGCTGGGGATTGAACCAAGGACTTTGCACATGCTAGGCAAAATGCACCTACTGAATTACATCCCCAGCTCCTGAACATGTTTTGCTCCTGGGTACTTAGTTGAGTAGTTCCAACATCACTGATAATATATGCTCTTAGGTCCTGCTAGGTTGGATTCTTAAGACCTAAGAAATGGCAAGGGAAATCAAATGTTTTCTACTCTATTACTTTATAGCCTAGTAAAATGGGGCAAGAAAGAAAATGAGATTTTGGGGGCCAAATAATACTTGTTATTAGAAGGAGCTGGTGCCTTATAGACAAGATTCTTACTGTGTCTTTGGACAGCCCAAATGTCATTATACCACAAGATGAATTTTAATTTCTTTTAAAGACTCAGGAACTACGTTTGGGCCATGGTCGTTTAGATTAACTATAGATTTGGACTTTCTCGGAACAGGTTTCCATTTATTCACTCATCTAATGAATATTTACTAGATTCCTTCCATTTTAGGCACTGGGAATGCACCAGTGAACAAAGAGACCCCCTGTCTTCTTGATATCATACTCTAGGAGATGGTGATAACCCTGAAACTATACTGGTGTTAGATAGCATTAATGGAGACCACTGTTGGATGAGATTCACACTAGAACTATGGGAGGAAAAGGGTTATCACCTTAGGTTTTAAATATAATTTATTTTTCCTCCATTTTGTAATCACCTCATCGCTATGCTTTGACAATCACTTTGCTGGAAGGTAAGCAATGCTGGGTCTGCATTCCAGCTGTGCCACTTAGCTTGAAAGCATGGGCAAGTTGTTTAACCTTTCTAACTCTCAAGAACACAAAGCATGCCTGTTAAGTGTTTCTACTGGGGATTGAACCCAGGGCCTTACACATACTAGGCAAATGCTTAACCACTTAGCTACATCTCTAGCCCTAATAAGAGAATTTAAGTAAGATTCCCTAACATGTCTGGCACATAGGAGACTTTTGGAAAGGATTAGTTTCCATTCTCTGTATTCACTTAGGTTATGAAAGGAACCATAGATGCATTAATTATGTGTACTTCTCATGAGAGCCTACTGTGGTCCAGGAAACATGCTAACACCTACCTTTTGCATGTGAAACTATATAACTCATATAGCAATACCATCAGATTAAGAGGCTAGAATACAATCATGAGTCCCATTGCATATGGAAGCAAAGGACTGAGCTTATCCTTGAGTTAAGTCTAACTCCAAAGCTTCTGAGTACTCTTACCCCTATATTATATTTATTCCCTGCCACCATGATTGTTAGTGGTTTGGAAAAATTTTGCCCTTGGGTTTTCTTGCTGCTGAGGATGGAGTCTTCTTGCCTTCCATTACACCTGATGTGGTCACACAGAACCTGGAAGCCTCAAAGTCCCATAGGGCAGAAGATTTTGAATTTTTGTTACCAAAAATCTGCATAAAAATATTTATCCAACACACACACACACACTCAAACAAATGCACACATGCACAAGGGAGAGCATATGGTCTTAGATTTAAAACTGAAATGAAACATTACTATAAAACAATATTTACTTCCTATGGTAATACATTATTTTCTGTTCTATCTCTTTAAAATTTTTCTGGTTATGACCCACTGCATCTAATGATTTACTAAAATGAATCCATGTCCCCTGGGTCATGACCTACAGTTTAGAAACACTGGACTAGGGACCTACATTAGGACAGGGTTACAGGAAGTTCTGATGACCTCACAGAAATCTCCTCTATCTTATTAGCTTCCAGTGTGAAGATGTATTTGTTTGTTGACTGGTTTGTATTTTTTCTGGCTTTCCATCATTATAAGGATGAAGGGCCCAAGGGATGTCAAGGGAGAAGTCCTTGTGAGGATTTCCAAGTCTACACCCTGGGAGCAATTCTAGGCATTTATTTCCCTATCTCTAAGGTTATTAAAAACCAAGCTAGACTAGTTGATTGGCACCCACTAGCAGACATGATGGAACTTTTGGTGAATGACTAGGATGAAATGATTCAGGTTCCTGAGAATAAAGAAGCCTTACAGGTCACAGTGATAAATTGTTAAGGTACTAAATTCAAAAGTAATGAACACCTCACATATTCTAATAAGCAAATAGTACGTAAAGCTAAAAAAATGCATTTTAATTTTTACTTTTGCAACCAAAATATAGTTGTCTGGATACAAAATAAAACAATATCTATTTGTGTATGATGTCATGCATAACTAATTAGAACAAATAAAAATAAATAAAGAAAGAAAGAAATAAAAACAATTACTCCAGAAAGGGAAAACCAAATCTTTTAAAAATAGATTTCTAACAAAAGTAAAATAATATAAATATATTCATTGTAATTTGAAATCAATGTTCATTAAAAACATCCAATTATTCATCCATCTATCTGTTCAAGAAATATTTTACAGGATGTGTCTCATGTTTAAAGCTTAGGAGATTTTGTACTAGATTTATATCCTTAGGAACTAATAGATCAGCTGTTATTTTAATTCCTGTTAATATAATACTACTCCTTTATGGCTTTCATGATATTTATTTTTTTCAATTTTGATGATATAGTTACACAGAATAGTGGGATTCATTGTAATATATTTGCACATGCACATCACATAATCTGGTTGATTTCATTTCCCAACACCTCCCTTTTCTTCTCCTGCTCCTTCTCCCTAGTCCCATTTCTTTACTCCACTGGACTCCTTTCTATTTTTGTGAGATACCTTTTTTATTCCTTTAGTCTCTGTGGCTTGCACATATGAGAGAAAACATGCTCCTTAACATTTTGAGTCTGGGTCATTTCACTGAGCATGATGTTTTCTGGTTCTATTCATTTTCCTGCCCATGTCATGATTTAATTCCTCCTTACGACTGAGTAAAACTTCATTGTGAATAGATACATCACATTTCCATCCATCTATTAGTGGACACCTAGGATGGTCCCATGACTTGGTTATAGCAAATTGCATTGCTGCCCACACAGGTATGTATGTATCACTGTAGTGTGCTGACTTAAATTCATTAGAATAAATACTGAGGAGTGTATTGCTGGTCATATGGTGGTTCCATGCCTAGTCTTTTGAGGAACCACCACACTAATTTCTATAGTGGTTGGAGTAATTTACAACCCCACCAACAGTGTGTAAGTTTCCCTTTCTCTCTTCATCCTTGCCAGCATTTATTATTTGCACTCTTAATGATTGCCATTCCACCTGGTGTGAGGTGAAGTCCCAGTGAGGTTTGATTTGCATTTCCCTGATTGCTAAGGATGTTGAACATTTTTTTCACATATATGTTGGCAATTTGTGTTTCTTTTTTGAGACACACTTCTTTAGTTCATTTTCCCATTTATTGATTGTTGGACATGATATTTCTTAATAATTTCTCAGCCAAAACATTAGCTAAAGCATAGACTGATAAAAGTACACAGTCATATAAAATATGAGGTTGCACTCTAGGTATGAAATCCAAAAGGTCAACATAAAGTTTTTACCAAAGTCAAGCAAATGTATGGCTAAAGAGTTTTGAAACCATTCATATCCACTCATATCAAATACAAAATTAATTTTGCTGTATATAACCTATAATAATACGCAGAAATTGGTGATCTGGCTGGACTTATTGACCATGTCCTTCCTGGAGAAGTGTCACACTGTGGTAGGACAGAGGACATGGGTACATTGGTACATTCTACCTGGCTAAACCAGTTCTCCATCTTCCCCTTTGTTTTCAATTTGTGCAGTTTGAACCATTTGAGTGTTACTTTTAACAACTGGGATCTGAGTAGTGCTCAATTTAGGGCTAATTCTGAGGCACGATGCTTCTAAATATCCTTTCAATGCCTTTTGAATTTTGATGCTTTCTAATTTAGCTGGCAGGTACAGGCACTACTCCCAGACCTGTGTGTCTGCTAAGCAGTGTCCCTCTAAAACTCTTGTGCAGTTCTTTCCCAACTCTTGGAGGTGTCCTTACAGGTGTGCACTGGTCATATTCAGCTGAATACTTGAGGGGGGACCTTCTGCAATCTCAGGAGTTGTCTTCCTGCATAGCTTGCTCTTGGCTGGTACTCTGTCCTGTGAGCTCTAGCTCCTTTGTTCTTCCCACTCTCTCAGCTCTTTTACCACCCAGGGAGTCCACTGGGCTCTACTTTTATTTCCCCTCCCATCTTTAAGCCTGTAAACACTCTCAAGGCTTAAGCTGTGGTCATCACAGGGCTCATCTCATTTGTTTTAGTTATTACTACAATTCCTTGTCTGATTCCAGTGCCTTGAAAGTTGTTGTTTCATATATATATATATATATTATTTTTTTTTCATTTCTGTCTTGTTGTTTCAGGTGGTAGAGTAAATCTGGTCTCTGTAACTCCAGCTTGACTAGAAATAGAAGTCTTGGCCCTCCAGATACTCAGAAGAGTTGATATGGAGATTTGGGTAAACAAATTCTCTCTCTCTCTCTCTCTCTCTCTCTCTCTCTCTCTCTCTCTCTCTCTCTCTTTCTCTCTCTCTCTCGACTTCTTTCTATAAATTTCTTTGTTTCTTTCTCTGTTTAATTCATTCAATTGAATATTTACTATGTGTAGACATCATAAGTGTGGGTATATCATAGAGAGCAAATATCCTTCACAATTCATAATATCTCATAATATGAGTTTGGTTAATATAAAGTAGTCTTTGAAAATCTGAACATGGAAAAATGGTATTTATGGACCTGTGAAGTTAAAGACTAAACCCAGGAACCTGGAATATACTTCTCCTATCTCTGAGACCAGTTGTTTTCTTCTGAGATTTTCATTTCCCTTTTCTAATTGCAATACTAATTACATATTAATTTGAGAATGGGAAAGTTTCATTTATTTAGCATCAGTGAGTCTTATTATTTTAATGATAAATATAATTTCAAAGAATAAATTACAAACTTAAAATAGTCTGGTTTTGATTATGGTACCAACTGCAACTGAAGTGTCCACACTGAAGAATGAATACACAGTGCATGCATGTATGGACACATACACACACAGAGTATCAGAATATTTTTTTCTGAAGTAAACTTTGATGACATACAATGAAGCAGTTTATGATGTATGAAATTACTACAATCAGGTGATTGCTTTCCTCACAAATCCTAAGATAAATATCTATAAAATGAATGCTTTTATAAATTGTGTTGAAAAAACTAGTGCTATCCATCTGGCAAAGATACACTTAACTCCAAGTTATACTTAAAAAGCCAACGGACTTACCATATGTCTCAATAATTTTAAGGTAAAATCTACTTGAAACAAGATGTCTGGGACACATACACTATATCCAGTTGCCCAAAAGTTCATCTGTTAACCATTGTTCTGGCATGAAACACTGCTTCTTTTTTATTTTTATTTTTTTTTAAAGTACAGACTAACTCAGTTTTGTAAAGCTTAACTTTTCATTTTTCCTTGTGAAAGATTGCTCAGTGTTGATAAACTTTAATCTTCTTAAAGTTTAAATTTTCTTTAATATATGGTATTAAAAATATTTCAAGAAAATCTCTAATTATAATGTACTTTATTTATACATGCAAAATACTGAACACATGAATATGTTATTCCATGGACACAAAGTGACTTTCTTTTTGAACAGGAACTCTGCTCTGTTTGTTTACTTGGGCAATCTTTTATCAAGTGAAGCCATTTCATAATTCAATTCAGCCCTTTTGTGTACTTTGGTGAACTTTTTCCAGATTCTGTATTGCAATTCAGATCCTTATAATGAAATTTGTATTGAAGTGATAATATAAAATCATAAAACTATAGCAACAAAGAGGAAAAATTTATAGAGAAATTATGTTTTAAAGGTTTGTTTTCTGAATTCTCTACCCAAAATTAAATTCTGCCAAATTACTATTTTAACATAATGTAAAAGTTTGATGTTTGTGTATATATGTTTAGTTATTTCATAATAATTTTTAACACAGTAATTCCCTTCTCTTATTTAGCAAAAGTTTTTAAGGTGTTCCTTCTTGCCTTTCAGGAATATTGGGAATATAAATTGGGAATGTGAAAAATCTTTATGTCATTAAGATAAATGACACAAAGTTGGAAATATGTCTGTATATGCTATTTTTGTTGAAAGACAAAGCCCTATTTGGTTATGTCAGTGCTGGGGGTAAGGGAGCAATGCCAGTCAGACACTGTAATCAGAATTTTTGTCCGAGAGAACATACAAAAAAAATGCAGCTATAGTTTTTTAATCCTAGGAGGCTCTGGAACATCTCTCTGCTACTAATCAGATATTCAACTGGAAATAGTACATAAACTTCCACAGTTAAGTGATTAAAGAAATGGAAGTCTGGGCAGTGGAAATAATAATTTTTAAGTACCAGAATGGAGAACTTTAAGAGGAGACTAAAGGTAAAAATAAAGCTGACATGCCAAAAAAATATGCTATAGAAGAATCATATACAAAGAAATATAGTCTATTTTATAAGATGGGAATGATTTGGGGAAGAAGGTTTTTCTACTTCTCTTTCTTTAATAATTACTGCTCCAAAGGAAAATGTCTGAATCGCTTTGAGAAAAGGCCCAAGCTATTTTGTGGTTTCTGTGGTTTGATTACATGAATTTCATTCACCACTGTGTCCTTTGCATAATTTCCTTATTAGAAGGGAGTACATTTACCTAAAAAAAATCTACAAACTGATACATATATTTGAGAGATTGATCAAATCTAATTATAATAAACATTGTGCTATAATTTCTGCATTAAAGATTTTAGTGTTTTATGTTTAAGTCTTATTACTTTCCCCTTGTTTATTGTGGGATATTTTAATGCTGAGGCTGTTACTACACCTTATTTTCACTTGGTGGGAAGGCATACCATGCTTACCTTCACTGCTCTTTTTGGTGTTTCAGCTAAGATGGGTGGCAGAATTCCCTTGTAAAAACCAAACAACCTGTTAGAGAAAAAAAATTAATATAAATAAGGGAATTAGAAAATAGGTAATTCCACCGTTAAATCATAAAGTCTTCCTAATTATTTACCAATCATGAAAATTTCCTTTGTTTTAATTCTAAAGATATGAATTCTGTGTTTCCTAGGATTACAATATTGAGAGAATGAATAAATGACACTGAGACTGGAATCCCTTAAGTAAATTGCTAAATATGACCATGAGTTATACCTTCAAGGTGAAGTTGACCCTTCTCACTTTAAAGAGTCTTGAATTAATTTATCTTCTCAGTTGTATGGTGGGTAGCTTCAAGCTGTCAACAGTCTTGCATTTCTTCCCTTCTGATAATTCAGTGAGGTTAGGGCTACTCCTAAATTCACTAGAATGAACTTTTTTGAGGCTAACAAGGTAATGAAATCTTCAATTTTAGTTTTAATAACAAGCTCTGTGTTTATGGGTCTATGGTATTAGTGCTTCCAGTCCTGTTCTGAATTAGTCATAATTTTTCTACTTCCATAATGGAAGTGGAAGAGTTTCAGGAAGGGCAGTTAGAATTTTCAAACTCCCTTGCTGTTATGCAGTCTAGTAGGACGCAGGCCAGCTATCATTAAGAATGTTGAGGGATCCAAGGACATAGATTCAGACCTTTATAAAAGAGAGAAAGGGAAAAACTACAATGAGTGGTAGATGCTTATGATTGGACTTTTAAAAAGTCACAACTTGTTTCTTATTAGATTTTAGGATTCAAAATTTTAAATTTCTCTGCCCAGGAATCTTCATACACAGGCCAAATCTTAATTTTAAACTTGAAAATATTTAAATAGAATATTCCACATTGTTTTCTGAGGTAATCAGTTATCCTGACAAGTCCATAAGTGATTATAGATAGGGCCACTTTTGTTTTTTAATTGGTCCTGGGGATTAAACTAAGGGGCACTTAAATACTGAGCCACATCTCCAGCCATTTTTATTATTTATTTATTTATTTTAATTAAAAAATTTAGTTGTTAATAGGTCTTTTATTTAATTTATTTATATGCATGCTGAGGATTGAACCCAAGGCCTTACACTTGCCAGGCAAGCACACTCTACCACTGAGCCATAACTCCAGCAGCCCTTTTTTTTTTTTTATTGATTTTTTAAAACAAATAAATGACAGCGGAATACATCACAATTCTTATTACACATATACAGCACAATTTTTCATATCTCTAGTTGTATATAAAGTATGTTGATACCAATCCATGTCTTCATACATGTACTTTGGATAATGATGTCTCTCGAATTCCACCATCCTTGCTAACCCCTGGCCCCTCCATTTCCCTCCCAGCCCTCTGCCCTATCTAGAGTACGTCTATTCCTCCAATGCTCCCCCTCCCTACTCCACTATGAATCAGCTTCCTCATATCAGAGAAAACATTTGGCATTTTTTTGGGGGGGGATTGGCTAACTTCATTTAGCATTATCTTCTCCGAAGCCATCCATTTACCTGTAAATGCCATGATTTTATTCTCTTTTATTGCTGAGTAAAATTCCATTGTGTATATATGCCATTTTTTTGTCCATTCATCTACTGAAGGGCATCTAGGTTGGCCAGCCCCCTTTTTATTTTTTATTTTGAGACAGGGTCTTGCTAAGTTGCTTAGGGCCTTGCTAAGTTAATGAGGCTGGTTTAGAACTCATGATATTCATGCCTCAGCCTCCTGAGTTGCTGAGATTATAGGCATGTCCTACCAAGCTGACATCTGCCCATTACTTTGATTTAATGGATCATGTTAGTATTATGATAGTAAGCAACAGAGACATATGATTTGAAGGGGTTTGGGAGTTCATGAATTGCCCCACCCCCATCCACTCCAATTTTAACTACCAATGCCTGAAATTCTCACATCTACACTTATTTACTCAAGACACTTATCAAATTTAAATCCTCTTTATCATCTATATTTCATTATAAATTATTTTTAAATTTTAAGTATGAGAGTGACTAAGCATAGGTTTGATCTTCCCAAAAGATTAATGTGATTTTCTGGTAGACAGTCTATATCTGTAATGGAAGAAGTTATTAGTTTGGTTCTTTTTGTGCTGATCTTTCCACATCTGAAAAATTATGCCTGGTTATGTGGGAAAAATGAAGAGGAACATAAAAGTAAGTAAAGCTTTTAAAATAGTGTTCAGGTTAATAGAAGGACTTGAAATTCTATATGATAGATAACAGTTACAGGTAGAAAAGTTGGTTAGCCTGGAGAAGAACAGCTTTATGGGGTAATATGATGAACATGATGGGTCTCTTGAAAGGCAAGCATGTAGGAAATATATTAGACCTTTCTGTTTGTTTCCAGGTGGTAGGTCTGGGACCAACAGGTGGAAGCAACAAGAAAAGACAGATTTTTGGCCAATTGGAGCTTAAAGAAGTAGTATCTCTAATAGTTAGAATTATCTAAAAATAGAATGGGCTTTCCTGAAAAGTGCAGTTACAATTTGGCATGTGCAAGCATCCCCGGATGACCACTTGCAATGGGATGCTGTAGATGGGATGTACACAACAGTGGAAGGACTCAATGGTCCCCATGATTGGTCTATTCTTTTATTCTAAGAAAAAGAACAAGAAGACACAGGCAAGTACTTTTCTAAAGGGACAAACTCTGCCTTACTTCAGATTTCTGCCTCAAGTACAGCACTGCTTCTCTGGAAGACGACTGAAGTCTTGTAAGTAACACAGAAGGACTTCATTTTAAAAGTGATTGGAGAAAATATTAAAAAGAGGTGTAAGGCAGGAGGGAAGAGAGAGGCAGCTGGAAGAAGCATAAGGATTTAATCTGAAAAGAGCTGGGAGGTCCAGAGCCCTCTGCTTCATGTTGGCGATGCTTCGTTGACGTGCCCTCCTTCCCTTCTCTCTGCTTGGCTCCTTTCATGTGCAATCACCACCACCCCCTGTTCCACTACCCTGAGCTTTCCAACAGCAAATGAACAGTTTTAACTGGAAAATCTCAGGGACTGTAGGCAGCTTTGCTATCAAATGGGAAGTGAGAACCATCTTTTCTTTGCATTGTTTTCAAAGTATATCCATGCGACAGCAGTCATCTATGGAATAGTTGGTGGGGCCAGTACCAAGACTGTGGAGAACTGCCATGCCCAGTTTTTTTTTTAAAAAAACACTGGAACCAACATATTATTACAATATGACACAGCTTATAGGTACAGGTTGACTGGACACCTTACTCAAATGGATCCAAATGGTACTCTATTTCTTTATTTCATTTAATTTAATTGAAGCTAGACCTATTAGAGTTTTTCTCCAGGATTTTGGGGCTTGAACTGAAAAGGTCAGTCTTGCTCTGAGTAGTTAAAGCCTTAAGATATAAGACTATGATACCAAGGGCAGTCATATTTTTGGTCATTTGGAAAAAGGCAATCTGCAGTGATAATAAAGAAGGAAGTCACTATTTAGGGAGACACTATTTAGGGAGAAGTTAAGAAAGAGAGTTTTTATATTGTGAGTGTGACTCTGCTGCCAAGATTTCTGTATGCTTAGTTACATCTGGATCCTTTTTGAATATCTGGTTTTTACCTCTGTCTCTAATCTAAGAGATACCAAGTAATGTCTTCAATAAGTTATCTTTTTTACTTAAATGAGTTTGAGTTGGGTTGGTAACTTATGGCCCAGAGTCCTGGACCCAGAAAGTAAACCTCATGTACCCTACAATCAAAATGGCTGTTCCTTGCCACGTCCTCTCATAAGAAGAGATTTGTTTGTCTGTTAGGATTGACCCTTGAGCCAATCAGAGGAGATACATATAAAATGTGGGCAAGAGAATGTGAGCAAGAGCTCAAGCTGATAAACTATTAGCCTGATTTGATTAAATACTTATTGAAAGTTTTCCTTTTGCAAAATGTGATGCACATATTTTTTTTTTTAAAAGAAACCGTAATGTTTTATGAAGGAGATATTTTTATTTTTTTCCTGCCAAAGGACTGCAGTATATACCCATATGCACTGTTCATTATCCTTCTGTGTAGCTTTGGTTTGCTATTCAGAATGTTGCTTTTCAGGACAATAATCAGAGGAATTAAGAAATTGGTGGCACCCATATTAACATGATCCATCCCATTTATTTCTACAGAAGCAAATTGCTACCTTCAGTCTACTTGCTGGCTGGCTGGATGGTGGTATTCTGAAGGTTTATGTGGCATTGACAGCAGCTCTTTTCCTTGATAAGACAGAAAAGGCACCACCCGGCTTTTAAATTTTGACCTGTACCAAATCAATAGGAGAAACCTTTGGAAGAGACACAAGAGTCACTGTAAGACTTCTTAGTAAATTTTAGTATGAACTCCATGGTAGCCCTCATAATTTTGTTTCTCAAAGTTGTTACTTCTAAAAGGTATAAGTTTGAGTTTAACTCTCCTGTGTAAGAAAATATTAACCTGAATTCTTATGGACTTCTATTACTATTATTTTAAGTAAAAATAGTCAAAATTAGTTGATTGATTCTTATATACTAGTTGCTATGTTAATAATAAGTATATATAGATGTATGTATATATAATAGTCTCAACTTTTTCAGGAAGCCTACTATCACATCATTGCCAAATGGTGTACAGTGACTTAATTTCCTTTGTCTTCTCACAGTCCATGTCTTTGACCATAAGGTTATACTATATACAGAAGTTTTTCTTGATATGCAACTATGTTTTTGCAGTGCTGGGTATTGAACCCAGGACCCAGGACTTTATATATCCTGGACAAATGCTCTACCACTGAGCTGTATGCCCAGCTTGAAATCAAATTATTTTAATAAAAAAAACCTAAGTTATATATGTTGCAACAGTGCCTTATCATTTTTTATTTCTGGAAGAAATTTTAGAAAAGGAAAATTAAGATCAGGTCTTTATTCTGAATTTTATTCAATTCTGCTGGAAAGTAAAGTGAAACACTTGACTGCATAACTAATAGCAATGGTCTAAGATGAACAAGATCATTCTGGTGAAAACTTCTGAAT